AGCTAAAAAACGCAATTTTGAGGGCTTGCAATAAACTTTTGGAGAGCCTCACGAAAACTAATGAGACCCTCGATGCTATGATAAAGAAACTAGAAATTAAGCATACACGCTCTGAAATAAAGAATATTACACCCAATAGCAGACCAGAGGAGCGCAAGAATCAAGCCAAAGATTTGAAATGCGAAGAAGCAAAAAACACCCAACCGGAAAAGCAAAATGAAAAAAGAATCCGAAAATACGAAGATAGTGTAAGGAGCCTCTGGGACAGCTTCAAGCGTACCAACATCAGAATAATAGGGGTGCCAGAAGATGAGAGACAGCAAGATATTGAAAACCTATTTGAAGAAATAATGGCAGAAAACTTCCCCCACCTGGTGAAAGAAATGGACTTACAGGTCCAAGAAGCGCAGAGAACCCCAAACAAAAGGAATCCAAAGAGGACCCTGGCTTCTGCTCACACAGCTCCAGTCCATTCTGCCTTCCCTCTGCTGACGCACAAAATGGGTGGCTCCACAGGGCATTTTGTGCATTTGCCCTTTAAGAAGGTGCCTGAATTTTCAGCCCTCACACCTTGGCAGACAGCAACCCCGCTGCTTTTCACAGCCAGATGTTATGTGGGTACCCTTCTCAATTGTGGTTCTCTCCTGTGAGTTTTCCATTGATTATTCTGGAAGTTTTTCTGTATTTTTTTTTTCATCAGATTATTTATTCACTTGATTTTTAGATTCACTTGTTGATAGATGTGTATTTGTTGTTCATAATTTGTATCTTTACCTTTTTCTTCTTCTTCCTCTTCTTACAGGATACCTTTCATTTCGTATAATACTGGTTTAGTGGTGATGAACTCCTTTAGCTTTTCCTTATCTGTGAAGCTCTTTATCTGACCTTCAATTCTGAATGATAGCTTTGCTGGATAAAGTAATCTTGGTTGTAGGTTCTTGGTATTCAGCACTTTGAATATTTCTTGCCATTCCCTTCTGGCCTGCAAAGTTTCTGTTGAGAAATCAGCTGACAGTCGTATGGGTATTCCCTTGTAGGTAATTGAGTCTCTTTCTCTTGCTGCTTTTAAGATTCTCTCTTTGTCTTTTGCTCTTGGCATTTTAATTATGATATGTCTTGGTGTGGTCCTCTTTGGATTCCTTTTGTTTGGGGTTCTCTGCGCTTCCTGGACTTGGAAGTCTATTTCTTTCACCAGGTAGGGGAAGTTTTCTGTCATTATTTCTTCAAATAGATTTTCAATATCTTGCTGTCTCTCATCTTCTGGCACCCCAATGATTCTGATGTTGGTACGCTTGAAGCTGTCCCAGAGGCTCCTTACACTATCTTCATATTTTCGGATTCTTTTTTCATTTTGCTTTTCCGGTTGGGTGTTTTTTGCTTCTTCGCATTTCAAATCTTTGACTTGATTCTTGCGCTCCTCTGGTCTGCTATTGGGTGTCTGTATAATATTCTTTATTTCAGTCCGTGTATGCTTAATTTCTAGTTGGTTCTTTATCATAGCATCGAGGGTCTCATTAGTTTTCGTGACTCTCTCCTCAAGTTTATTGACAGCTTCTAGCACATTTTTGCAAGCCCTCAAAATTGCGATTTTTAGCTCTATATCCTCCATTTCTGTCATGTTTTTTTGTCTCCGCATTTTTTATGCTTTCTTGGTGCACCCCCTAGTGGTCTTTGTGCGCAGTCTTGTTCTAGTTGAGCCTTGATTGTTGTAGTTAATACTAGAGGGATTTGACCACCAGGCCGACTGGCTGTGTGAATCAGCTGTGTCTGCCGCGGAAAACTTCTGTCCTCTGGGGAGGTGCTAATCTAGCCTTTGCCTGAGGCGATCCGGCAAATGGCTCTGCGCAGGGCTTGGGCGGGGCGGGATCAACAGGGCGGGTGGAGGGAGCAGTTATGGCCGCTCTCAGTCGTTTGTTCCCAGGAGCGTGTCCATGCAGCATCCACTTACTCTGCCGCCATTTTTAATCTCCAGGAAATTTTACTTTAATTCTAGGAACCCAATTGCCAGAATAATAGACTTTTTAAAACTACGATAACTTCCCCTACTTCTGCTATGTTCCAAGTTTAATGATAGGAAAGAGGTACTTTTAATTTTTTATTCACTATTAGAGTAGACTTAAAAATATATAATTAAAAAAGGAATTTGTTTACTTGATTTGTGCACTCATATAGTGAACAGCAAAGATTCATTTTTCTTTTTCTACTGACTGTATGTGCTATAATAAATAAATATTATTCTAATACTGACATGATGAATGATGTGTCTGCAATAATAGCTCTTCTCAAAAACAGTTCATGGGAATTTTATCTTGCTTTTAGACTGGTGGTGAAGTTATTGGCCTTTTAGCCTAATCCTGGGTGCTAGACAGCAATGATTGGACAAAACATTGATGGCATAGTGGCACATCTCTATTATTTACTTTTTGTCATCATTGCTTTTGTGAACAGTGGTCCCTAAAGTCAGGGGTTGCCACTTTTAATTAAGACTAGTTGAACCATTTGAAATGATGCAGGTTGAAGGTCCATCTCAAATGTTAGTCGGAATTTTATTGGGACCATGTTCTACTCACAGAGACCATTAGTTAGTGGTGAGTTATGCATTCTTCAGCGGGCATGCCTCAGTAATTGGAAAATGATAACTTACTTTTGTTGCCTGTATCTTCTAGAAGTTGATGAGGCATCATTGTTTCAATGAAATCACCTCACTTGTACTTCTTGAGCAACGTCATATACTGGAACTTTTGCTGTGGTCAATTATGCTGTGTAACTCATTAAATTCTTCCTTAGGTGATGCCAAGAACTTTTTAAAAGTTCAGACTTATGCTCTGGTCAGTGTGGCTCAGTTGGTTAGAGTGTCATCCTGTGCACTGAAGGGTCGAGGGTTCTATTGCATACCCAGATTGTGGGTTCAATCCCCAGTTGAGATGCGTGTATGGAGGCAACCAAGTGGTCTCTCTCTCTCTCTCTCTCTCTCTCTTTCTCTAAAATCTCTCCCTCCTCCCCCTCCCTCCCTCCTTCCCCTCCCTCCTCCCCTCCCTCCTTTCCTTCCTCTCTCTACCTATTTCTCTAGAATCAATGAAAAACAGATCTTGGGGTGAGGATTTTTTAAAAAGTTCTGACTTATAAGCAAGCATGTGCTGAAATTGATTTTATCATAGTTTTTGAAAATTGACTATTGTGCAGTATATGCATAGTTTCAGGTGTACAGCAAAGTAGTTAGACAGTTATGTACTTTACAAAGTGTCCCCTCAGATATTTTCAGTACCCACCTAGCACCATACATAGTTATTACAATACTAGTTGGGGCACCGCCCTCTGTCACACACAGAGCAGGGAGGATCAGGGGTTGGGGCGCAGCCCCCTGTCACACACAGAGCAGGGCCGATCAGGGGGTTGGGACACTCCCCCCATCACACTCAGGGCAGGACCGATGGGGAGGTTGCGGCTCCACCCCGTCACACACAGAGCAGGGCCCATGGGGGGGTTGGGGTGCCTTCCCCTGTCAGGAACAGAGCAGGGCCAATAGGGAGGTTGTGGCCCTGCCCCTTGTCACACACAGAGCTGCAGGGCGATGAGGGGGTTTGGGCGCTGCCCCCTGTCACGCTGCTCCAGGGGCCAGGAGGCCTCGCGGCTCTGCTGATCCCGGTGCTGGGAGGCATCACGGCTCCACTTGACACCGGGGTAGTGAGGCCTTGCTGCTCAGCTGATCCCGGTGCTAGGAGGCCTCGCTGCTCTGCTGATCCCAGTGCTAGGAGGCCTCGCTGCTCCGCTGATCCCGGTGCTGGGAGATCCTGGTGCGAGGCCTCGCGGCTCCGCTGATCCCAGTGCCGGAAGGCCTTGCGGCTCCGCTGATCCCGGGGCGTGAGGCTTCGTGGCTCCGCTGATCCTGGGTTTGGGAGGCCTCCTGGCTCCGCTGATCCTGGTGCTGGGAGGCATATTACCCTTTTACTATATAGGATAGAGGCCTGGTGCACGGGTAGGGGCCTGCTGGTTTGCCCTGAAGGGTGTTCTGGATCAGGGTGAGGGTCCCGCTTGGGTGCCTGGCCAGCCTGGATGAGGGGATGATGGTTGTTTGCAGCTGGTCACACCCCCTTCAGGGTGGGGGTCCCCACTGGGGTGCCTGGCCAGCCTGGATGAGGGGATGATGGCTGTTTGCAGCTGGTCACACC